ATTTTATTCCTTGTTTATCCACATATCTTCAAAACTGGATTTAATATTTGGGAAACCAGTTGGCAGCAACCAGTCAGAAACAAGAACTCAAAATGAGGTAGTTGAAATTTTGTACCCACTCACTTCCCTGGAAGGGGTTGACTATTATTCATTTTCCTCCTGTTCATGAAGTGCAGAATTTAAGTACATAATTGCTAGCGGCCATGGCAAACCGTGCTCTGTTTTGTGCCCTGTAAGGTTCAGGATTCACACAGCCTGGCACAGGCTCCCCATGGTGACAGACAGGAGTGGGAACTCCAATGTTGCCACTTCCTGTCTGTCTTGGGTGTGAGCTGGTGGAATTTCATGGGAAACAGGACCACAGGACCTTGCTGTTCTGCAGCATATGTGACAGCATGTGCTTCCCCACCCTATGGAAAAAAAAAATAAAGAACTGACCAAAGGAGCAAAAGCAAATTGCTAGGGATCATCAAAAGGAAACCTCAGAATTTGAATTTCGATTCAGGTCAGAGTTCTGCAGCTTTTGACTGTCTGCTGTATACCCCCACCATCCCGTGGTCCATGTGGCTACGTGACCATCGCCACCTTGGCTTTGAAATAATCTGCTCTTCTTTCATGAAAGCTATGTGACTCTTGCCCCAAATGGGCTGTCAGTGACCTGAGGCCAGAGGCCAAAGCCYGTTTGTAAAGCACAGGGCGCTTATGATGGTGGGTTCAAAGGTTGATGGTTATGAATAGGATAGGATTTCTTATTAGGTTGAATTCAAGCAAAAACAGTTCAAATTAAGCTCCTAGATGCAAAATCCATACTTTGGGTACAAATTTTAATAGGGGGTTTATTAAAATCTATAGATCTTTATGCTGTTTTATCCAGAGAAGGACAACAGCATTAAGTCTGATATTTTCACATGCTCAGTAAAAGTAAAGACACTAAACTTCGTGTAAACATACCTACCCCTCAGTACCAGGCTATACAAGTATCTTATTTTATCTGGTAATGTTCTACCATGAGTTAAAATTGGCCATATGAACCATGTGTCGTGCTTATAAATGTGTGGGGCAGAATCTGCATTAGGAGAGTATCTGCCTTCTATTTTGCCCAGATCATAGTGAATGCAGCCAAGGACATGGTATTAGTCTCAATTTCTTTATCGATATCTTTTTTAGACTGCATTCACTTTGCATCATTGAAAATATTACAATCATTGAATTAATTAAAAGAAGGAGAGCACCCATCTGTGCGATGGGTAATGTTCGTACAGGCTGTCTGTCTGCATGTGGGAATTGAGCACTTGCTGAATGCAGAGACACCAAGGTCTCTGGTTTGTGAATGAACGTCACAGGGGAAGTCAGTGGGTATGCTTCTTGTTCTGTTTACTTTTCCTGCGGAGGAACTGTTTCCCAGAAAAAGCATCTGGATTCTATTGCTTTTTCATGCATCGTGGGCCCTGATGGAATCTGGAACCACTTGTGATGTCACGGGCTGTAAATGGCACTTAGAGTCTTGACAGGAAGTTGGAGGCATGACATTCCCCCGAGCAGGGAGGAAGTTCAAGTCTCCTGTCTTTCCCAGCATTCTCTAGGGGCTTAACTACAGCCCCCCCCCCCAAATACCATTTTCCTTGAAGCAAATAAAAAGAAACACAGTGTTTTCAAGTTAAGAAGTAATGAATTGGATTGGAAATGAAATAATTCCTCACCAAATACCCAAATTGAATATTTTTTGAAGTGTAATTTCACAGCTCAAGGTTCAGGAAGTGATAAATGCCTTAAATCATAAACACTTCACGCTGGAAATTGGTCTTTGCCGAGGCCCAAAAGGCCTGGATAATCTGCATTCTTGTCTCAACCCACAGGGGCCAGTTTTAACCCCAATGGTACTAAGTTACACATTTTATTTTTTAACCACTCAATTTGATTTTGTAAATCCTTGTTTCTATTGCTTCAATCTCTATTTAACCCTCTCCATTTAAGAAAGTTCTAACATGGGGCTGGGGATGTGGCTCAAGCGGTAGCGCTCTCGCCTTGCATGCGTGCGGCCCGGGTTCGATCCTCCAGCACCACATACAAACAAAGATGTTGTGTCCGCCAATAAATAATAAATAAATAAATATTTAAAAAAAAAAAAAGAAAGTTCTAACATATGGTTGTTCTGTATGATGCTCTTGATGCCTGAGACCATTTGCAGAAAGCTCTCCATACACCCTCTCAGTGTGACTCTCTTTACTTAAGATGACTTCCCAACCTGTGGACACTGTGGACCTCCTCTGACTCCCAGGACCTGGAACTGAGGATCACACTGCATCCGTGGCCAGGACCATCTGTCATGTTTGGAGACTGGACTTGCATTCGTTCATCTAAAATCGCATTAGCACTTTCCACCTCTTAGCAATCTCGTCACAGCACTGCTTCATATTAAATTAAGAGTGCCTAAAATACCTAGCTGTGCCTTCTTTCCTAACGATAAGTGTCTATTAGTCAAATCCTGGATTGTTTGAGAATGTTTCTCAGGGCATTAGATTGGTATTCATGTCAGCTGTTATATATATTTTTCAGGTGTTCACACTCATACCAAAATTTGGAAAAAATTTCTCAGGACATTTTATGATATGACACTTGATCCTAGGAGAATTCCAGATGGCTTCTCTTGGTCCTGATTCTTTTGCTTCTTCCTCTTGCTCCTCTCCTCCTCTTAGTCCACAGCACTGGAGAAGGCTCCCGTGAGCTGCACCTTGCACTCTGGGCCCAGTCAACGTGGCCAGGGGGCTGAAACCCACCCATTTAGCTCTCAGGAGGGCGTGTGCTGGCCTGGGCTGCTTCTACCCAAAGCAGGAGCATCTTCCTCTGACTCGCACACTGGGGCTTTGCTCAACTAGCAGTGCCCTTGAGAGTAGGGCATGTTGAAATTCAAAAGAGCAGAGCTGAGYCCTAAATGCCCCCAAAGCATGATAAGACCATTTTTAAAAGCCAAGCCATGCTGAAGTGCCTAAATGAAGATACCAGCTCTTCCCTCCCTCCCTGGCCCTTTCTCTTGCACCCAAGACGGAAACATTCTGAGCCTCTGCCTCTGTTTCTACGCTTTCCAACCATCATTTCCTTCTTTCTGGGTTATAAATTATATGACTATTTCTTGGTGACTTCTTGGTCTTTTTTTTTTAGATATTCATTTTTTAGTGGATGCAATATCTTTATTTTATTTCTATGTGGTGCTGAGGATCAAACCCAGTGTCTCATGCATGCTAGGCGAGCACTCTACCTCTGAGCCACAGCTCCAGCCGGACTTCTTTGTCTTTTAGATGTCATAATTGTTTCTGTCAGAACAGAGGACTGAAGTCCTACACACACCCCATGGTTCAGTGTGGCGATCCCATCAATTGGCAAAGGCCACAGTATTTGCATTAATGTAAACATTCCTCATTCTTGAGCCAAATGGGGTATCAGATTCCATTGTTTTCCCTTAAACAATTTTAACTTTCCTTGAAATTAATGTAGCCCTGCTTTACTACGTGTCTGGTTTTCCAGCCAGGCCTATTGGTTATTCCCCCCAGCTCCCGCAGAGCTGGCGCAGTCTCCACACTGCTCTGAGCATTCTCTGAAGCTCCTGCAGCTCCYGGGGCCTCCCTGGGAGCAGCTGTCCTGTCCGACACCCTCCGTTCTGCTCCCCCCGCCAGGCTGCACCTTGGCTCACCTGTGGCCCCGGGCCTCCTGCCGCCCAGTTTCCGGCAGTCCCTTCCCTCTCCGGGTTGTCCTGCTCGCTTGCTTCCCTTGGCCGCTGTCTCTGCAGTGCACGCCGACCTCTGGCTTCAGACACCGGCTGCTGGGAGGCGAGGAACCTCTTCCATGTGGATGAGCACAAGTTCTAGGTGGAACTCATGTTGCCTCTGAGCTCTGTCCCTTAGCCCCACTGTCCCTGAGCATCTTGAGAAGCAGGTGCCATTCTGTCCAATTCCATTGTAAGAGTCCCCTCTCCCTCTCTGGGGTTCTCGGCCTCGTTTCTGGCCCCCTGATGACAGTAAACTCCACAGTGTCAAGGTCAAGGTCCTACTCTGCCCTGAGCCTATGACATGCCCTTCCGCCTAGAGATCCATGTGCTTTAGTTCTGGGTCCTGTCCCCAGAGTAGGTCTGTGATCATCTCTTCTTCTCACTTACTTTTTATTTTCTGTGCTGAATCAATTCTCATGTTTTCTTGTCTTTTCTCTTTTGTAATTTTTCTTCTATTTGATGAAGGATTTCTTCATTTCTGTCCCTCAAACTCTACTAATTTCTAAACTTTTTAGCATTCTATCTCTGATTCCAGAAGATCTCCATTGTCCTCCGGTTGTTCCTTTTATAGTGAGATTTTTTATTTTGCTAGAAATGCAGTACCTTTCCTTGTTCCTCTGGGAACACCACGGTCTGAGGACTCTTTCCTTCCTGGGCGGTGAATCCCAAGTCTCCTTCTCCTGTGTATTATTAGGCCTCGGTCTTCTGTGTCAGAAGCCCCCCTGGACTCTTCTTGTCCTTCACYATCCTTTCCCACTCGAAGTGAGATGCCAAAGGGCAGCTTGGGAGCCTGGTGAACAGTGGAGGGTGCTGGGGCATTGCCTGGAGAGCCTGCTACCCAATCGTTGCGTGGAGAGGTGACTCCACTCCAGCCCCAGATGTCAGTAACTACAGATTTTTCTTTGGGAACAGTTCAATTTCTCCATAAAAGCTCTCCTCTCTCTTATAAGAGGCCAGGCTGGGATTGGAGTGAAGCATGGATCTCCCCCCGGGAGGTGGACAGGAGGAGGGGGCAATGGCACCTCACAGCCTCACAGGTTTACTCTCCTGTCCCAAGCAGAGCCTCCTTTCCACCCTCCTCGGTGCCTAGTTGTGAGTACAGACTCTCTGTTTCAGTTTTATGAACCAGATTTATAAAATGGGTGCATTTCTTCTGGGGATTGCTTCTTCTGGGGATGGGGGACAGTGTGTCCTATTTTTTATGGTAATCCAGTTCTTTTAAGTGTTTTCTTTCAATGCTTGCAGTTGCCATATCTTTACTAAAATTAGAACCATACAGAGAAGATTAGTATCATCCCTTGACAAGGATGGCAGGCAAGCCCATTAAAAAAAAAAACAAAAACTCAAAGTGGACAAAGTCTTAAAAAGAAGAGCTAAAACTCAGAATAAACTATAGAAGACAAGCTTTCTGACATTGTAGTTAGCAATGATTTCTGATATGACACCAAAAGCACAAACAACAAAGAAAAAGAAAACAGATAAGGTGTACTTCATCAAAATTAAAAACATTTGTGCTTCAAAGAACATAAGCAACTGAATGAAAAGCACCCCAAATGGGAGAAAGTGTTAGCGAATCATAGTCTGATAAAGGACTGAGACTCAGACTATATAAAGAATCCCTATAATGCAACAACTAAAAAGCAAACCCAAGCTGCTTCAAATAGAAGCAAAGGACTTCAGTAGCCCCTCCTTTAAAGAAGAGATGCAGATAGCCAGGGAGAAGATGCTCAGCACCACTAATCATCTGGGAAATGCAAATCAAAACCACAATGAGACCCTCACCCATTAGGATGGTTATTATCCAAACAAATAAATAAATGAACAAACAATAACAAGAATTGATGAGGATTTGGAAAAGTGTGAACCCTCCCACACGGCTGCAGCCTCTGTAGGGAATAGAGTGGTGGTCCCTCAAAAGATCCAACTTACAGTAAATGCACCCAAAAGAAATGAAGGGGAAGGTACCTGGAGCGAGTTTGCCTTAAAACAGCAGCTGCAGTTGCTGTAAATCTCTCTGCAGTTCCAGGATGTTTTCCTTGGCCAAAAATGCACTGAGTCGTCTCCAAGTTCAAAGCATTCAGCCAACAATGGCAAGGCAGAGCCACCAGAAGCCCGTTCCTGATGTCCACGACAAATACGGTAATGCTGTATYAGCCTGTGGAGCCATTTTCTGTATTGCTGTTTTGACATACCCAGCAACATGAACTGGAAGAGAATGAGACCTGTCCTCTGTTGGCAGAGTCGCCCCAAAGGAATGGAGAAATCTGTAATCGTGCCAGCAATGTAATACTGAATTTCCAAACCAACTCAAAATTGATGCCAAGCAAAAGCACTGTGTACCTACTAAATATGGCATCTTGAAGAAATAAAGTACACTTGAAACAAAAAAAAATATAAGAAAAGAAAAAGTAAAGAAAGGGAGGGGTGCTAGAAAAGGCACCTGTGGGCTGCGTAGGCAGCAGTACTACCCACGAGAGCCAAGAGCAGAATGGCCCTCAGTGGACATATACATGCACAATGGGATATTTCTCTTTCTTAAGAAGGGGAAAATTGTGGGCTGGGATTGGCTGAGTGGTAGAGAGCTTGTTTCTCATGTGTGAAGCCCTGGGCTCCATCCCAGCACACACACTCACACACTCACACAAGCAGGGGATTCTGACACTCACTACATCACAGACGCCCACTGAGAACCACCCGGTGAATCGCCCAGGCCTTAGGAAGATGTGTGTTGTGGGACTGCACTTGTGGGAAGTGCCTGGAGGAGGTTCGTTCACAGAAACAGAGGTGGCTCTAGGAGTGGGGGTGGGGTGGGGGTGTCGGGGGGCTGTGGAAAGGGACAGAGCTTGTTTTGCAGGGGAGGAGAGTTCTGGGAGGAGCAGTGCCCATGGCACAACTCCCTGAGCACAGCTACTGCTGCAGAGCAAAACTCTCCACGTGGCTAAAACGGCTGATTCCGTGGAGTGTACATCTCACCATGATTTTAAAATGGAATTGTCTTCAAAATCAAGGGTAGTGATCAAATCGGAGAGACTTTGGTTCGCAGAGCTCTTTCCAGATGCCCAACCCTCTCCAGGACCTCTGTCCCTCGCCTCCCCGTGACAGGGTTCTGTCTGGACCCTCCCTGCTGCTCCTGGAGCGTCCTCTGCTCCTTCTTAGAGGTGGACACCCTGGTCCTCTAAGCAAATCTCATCCCCTAAAACTGCTCCCCGGAGCCAGCCTTCCTGTCCCCGCCCTTTTCTCAGGCCCCGCCCTGGAAACTGCTCACAGTAGCTGGGACTGTTGCCTCTACCTCCCTATTAGAAGATGAGGTGGCCTCTCAGTTTTGGGACCCCCTCCTGGGGCATCCAGGTGGCTTGAGTCCATCCCGAGCATCCTCTGTTCTGCCCTGCAGAGTCAGAGAAGAGAAGAACGCCAAAAAAAAGCTGTCACATTAAGAATTCACAAACCAAGTCAATTACTAATTAATAACTTGTGAGTTYTGCAGTTCTGCAGACTCAGGGCTCCACGCCAAAGCATCAGAAATGACTCACTATTAGTAAACTCCAGAGGACCCCGGGGCCCTGCTGGGCTCAGTCTCTTCTGCCGCAGCAGGTCCAGCTTGGAGCTGCACGCCCAGGCTTTGTGCACTTGACACGGGACAGCCTGTTCCAAGCCTTCAGCAACACCCCAGGTCTTTCTGCAAGAACCTGTTGTTGTCCTTGTTTATCCCAGGTGTATAATGCTGGACTCCCAGACTGTGGCTAAGGGGAGACCTTCCCAGGGAATAAGCCTGTGTCTGTCATGACCTTGAACTCCAGTCCTGGTGTGGAGAAGAAAGGGAGACCCAACTGGCAGGAGAGAACAGGTTTGGGAGCTGCGCAGAGGGAGGGGCCTGCAGTAACAACCAGAGGACTCCACCAGGAAGAGATGCTGGGCAGCTAGGAGGCTCTGCCACAGAGCCCAGGAGGAAGGTCCCCTGTTTAGAGTGAGCCCATGAGCTCTGATTCCTCTTGAGCGAGTAGGCTTATATTCTTTTCCCCTGAACATCAAATTCCCATACTATAGTTTAGAAATGAGGTGTCCCCCAAAAGCACACATGTGAGACCATAAAGTTTACAGGTGAAAGAATTAGACTTTGAAAGTTATAGCCTAATCAGAAGATTCACCCACTAATATGGACCCACTGGGGCAATGCAAGAAAGTTTAGAGGTGAACTGATGAGCTGCTGAGGGCTGTGACCCACTCTTGCACTGCCCCCTGATAGGGATCACCTGGGTGGTGACCGTGGGCAGGGAGGAGGTGGGCCCCTGGGCTGGGCCTGTGGGGTTTGCATTTTGTCCCTGGTGAGCAGAGCTGTCTCTGCTCCTGGCTGCCATGTCTGAGCTGCCTTCCTGCCCCAGCGCCCTTCTGCTGTGATGCTCTCCCTCYCCTCGGGCCCAGAGCAGTGGAGTGGGCCAACTTAGAACTGAGACCTCTGAAACTGGGAGCACCAAGTAGACTTTTCCTCCTCGTCAGGTCTGCTGGGCACAGTGACTAAAGCCACCTGGCCCCTCACCGAGGAGGAGGGTCAGCATGTGCCTGTGAGTCTGTGCGTGTGTGCATGTGTAGGAGTGTGAGTGGGGGCGTGCTCGCGGGCGTGTGCACATCTGTGTGCTGCCTRTCTGTGTCCCTCTCTCCCCTCCAGCTCCTCCTGCTCTTTGTTCTCTTGGACTCTGTCAGTCCTCCCCAGGTCCCTTCGCCCTCAGGGGGAGCCTGGTCTTTTCGGGGACAGCTCCCTGCCCTTCCCCCACAGTTCTCTTGGAATCTGCTAAAGGGTCATTTGGGGAGAAATCCGCAAACACAACATTGGCTAAAATTTAGGTGAGGCTCATCTGACGCACACGCAGCTTCTGTTGGCTGGTTTTGGGGTCCATGGGCCGGTTGCGGCTCTAGAGTGAGCATTTCTGATCTTACAATTAAACATTTTAAAATCCTGATTCTCATCCGTGCAAAACGTTGACAGCTTATCCCAGAAGTATTTGTGATCCGCTTGTCTCTATGCCTCCGGCTACTGAGTGTGAACGAGAGCACCCTCAGCCCAGTCGCACACACACCCAACACAAGTCCCACAGGTACCCAACCCCACAGGACCAYCCAGTGCACATTGCCAACCTGTTCCTTCTCAGCTGTCCCCTGCGCTGGGCTCACTGCTCCCCCTGCGCCTGGGCCACTGAGCCTGGGCTCCTGCTGAGGGCATGGGCACCCTGCTCTGTCCATCTAAGGGCACTGAACCCACACAGGGCCTGCATGCACACAAGAGCTTGCAAAACAGCCAGCAGAGCAGCCCACCCGGGGGGCACACTGCCCACCAGGGTCCTGGCCTGGGCGGGTGGATGCACCCCAAGTGCTGGAGCCCCACAGCGTCTCCCTTTGTGTCCATGGGCCCCTGGGCTGGCACTGGACCACAAGCAGCAGCCACTCTGTATGCAGAACTGTTTTTGGCCTCCACCCTGCGTCTGGAGACTAGTCCGGCCATCCGGCCCATCGTGAAGCTTGCCACTTCTTAAATACGTGAATTAACAGAGGCTCCTTTCAAGGGGCCCCAAGATTCCTTCATGATTCAGTTCCTGTTTCCCCTGGTCTGAGACTCAATCCCTGGCACTGCTCCGGCTCCCCCCAGGAGTGTCACGGGCCAACRAGTGTGGCTGGGAGGTTGTGTCTGGAGGGTGTGGGCACCACAGACTCCCCTCTGCACCTGGTGGAGCCACACCACCCACCAACCTTTGTCTACTTTCACCTGCAGTCCACATGGCTGAATTCCAATCACAGTGTATTCCTCTTATTCTAGAAAGCAAACTTGGCTTTGGACTTTTAGATCAAGGTATCTTTACAATATACTGAAATTCGATGGGGCTGTACAGATCAGGCCACAGGACTGCAGTTCTAGGGGGTCATGATAGAAAGATGAGACTCCCTGGCTGCTACGGTTTAGATGTAAGGTGTCCCCCCAAAGCTCGTGAGACAACGTGGGAACGTTCAGAGGTGAAGTGATCAGATGAGGGGAGGTGTGACTGATCCTGGATCCCTCTTAGGGATTACCTGGGTGGTAACTGTAGGCAGGGTATGGCTGCAGGAGACTTGTCACTGGGTGTGCCTTTGGGGTTTCTATTGGTCCCTGGTGAGCAGAGCTCTGTGCTTCCTAGACGCCATGTCCTGAGATGCTCTCCTCCTCCAGGCCCACTCGCCATGATGTTCTGCCTCACTYGAGCCCAGAGATATGAAGTCGGCCGACCAGGCACTGAACCTCTGAAACCGTGATCCAAATAAATGTTTTATCCTCTGTGTCATTCTTGTAGATCTTTTGGTCACAGCAATAAAGAAAAAGGT